GTCTTCTGCAGTTGTACTGGGTGGACTCGGGGCCTGAGACTGCATTTTGTTCCTTCTCTTTGTCATTTTGTATACCACTGTCTTCTGACCTTTGGTGTACAGCTTAGATAGAGTTATTACCTTAGCACCAGGTCTGGATCTATGAAGTTCAGAGTCCTCCAGTGGGTGTTGTTTGGATCTGGCTGCTGTGCTCCACTTCTTTCTGCTGCAGGCGTTAGAGTTGAACCCTTTGTGTCTCTCTGGTAAGATGTTCTGCTCCTGAATCAGCTGGGTAGGTTTTGCCTGTAGCCTCTTTGCAGGGAGTTCTGCTGAAGGGTTCCTTGCTGGACCTGCCCTCTAGGTCGAATGAAGATCTGTGGGCCCTGGGTCGTCTCACTCACTCCCTGGGCCTGCGCTCTGGGTCTGTTCAGGATCCTGCGGCCCTGGGCAGTCTCACTCACTCACCAGGCCTGCGCTCTTGGTCTGTTCAGGATCCCGCTGACCCCGGGTCGTCTCTCTCCTCCTAAGGACATTTGACTCAATAGATTTAGCATTTCTTTTTTCTGTAGGGGTGGTGGGGGCTGTTTAGCCTGCCTGGGGGTGAGACTGGTGTGGTATGTGGTACCTAGAATCAAACCATAGTCCTTGTGCTTGCTTAAGTTTGCCTAAGCACGGGCTGGTGAGATGGCTCAGTGGTCTAAAGCACCTACTTAGAACAAGCTTAGCAAAACACAGGGACCATGGTTCAATCCCCCAGCACCACATGCCAGCCAGCCCCGCCCCCTGGTGGGCTGAGCTGGCCACACACACAAATAAATAAATAAAAAGAAAAAGCTTTAAAAAAATTTGCCTAAGCAGGTGCTTTAGTCCTCTGAGCTATCTTGCCGGCCCCGATTTAGCATTTCTTGATCCTTCACTGAATACAGTATTTTTCTTTTTTTTTTATTCTGAAATTGACGGGGGCCATCATGCATGTGTGGCCAGTTCTCAGCTACTGAGCTTTACCTCCCAGCCCTAACTTTGGTCCTTATGAGTTGTGAACTTTCCAAATTAAATTCTATAGTTAAAATTCCAGCACTTCCAGAGACTGAGGCAGCAGGGTTGCTGGGGGTTAGAGCCAAAGTGGGCCGCATACTGAGTTCAAGGTCCCCCTGATGCATAGCAAGACCCCATCACCCTGCTTTCCCCAAAAATGTACAGCAAATGTCCTTCAGGATCAGAGTGAAATTGTAACTCTACATATTGTCACTTGTCAAAAAGAAGTACTCCTGATTTTATGTTTGTTATTATCACTCTTGAGACATGGGGGTTTGGGTTTTTTTTTTTTTTTAATTCAGTGTGTTATAACTCAATAATGTCATGCCTTTTATGCATTAAAGTTTGGCAAGGAGGAGCCTCTCCAAGCAGGTCCTGTGCTCTTCCCCCACCTGCTTTAGAACACCTTCACTCTCACAAAATCTTTCTAGATCTCAGCCAGGGCTGGGTTTTCTCACGGGACCTGGTCCCTTTGGTCCTACGGAGATGAGGTTCATGATTGTGCACGTGTTCTCTCCTAGATTTGTGTTCCTCTCATGCCTTCCTTCCTGTAAGTTCCCTCTAGTACTTGATAGATTCTGGTTGAAAGCCACAGGTGCAATTCCAACCTTGATACACAAAGTCTGTGCTCTGGTTGACCCGTCCCTAGAGGTAACTGCTTAAGCATAAAATCAGTTTGTGACATTTGAGTTTGTTAACTTCCCTTGAACAGAGAACAGAAAAGTGGAGCAGTGTCTTTGTTTGCTTGTTTAAATGTATTTAGTACAGGGTCTCACTACACAGATCGGACTCATAGTGATTCTCCTGTTTTCAGCCTCTAAAGCACTGGGATTACAGGCGCACGTCACCATGCCCAATATCAATCTCTGTCTCAGTGTGCCCCCCTCGGGGGGTGGGCAGCGGGGCAGGCCAGGGATCGAACCCAGTCCCTGTGCCTGTCTGAGCAAGAGCTTTAGTCCACTGAGCTATTTGGCCGGCCCTTGGAGCAATGTCTTTGAACTTGATTTCTGAAAGTTCACCTGTGGCTGTGTGTGCTGGTGCAAGCCTATAATCTCAAAACTCAGGAGGCTGAGACTGGAGGAGTGCTTTGATTTCAAGTCTGCTACAAAGTGAGTTCAAAGCCAGCCTGAACGAGACCCTGCCTCAGAAAGACAGAAATCAGTAGTTAACTTGGAACGCACAGGCGTTGTCTAGAGCCGCACCACCTGCCCTCAAATTACCTGAGTATTGATCATGGTTCTAAAAATACTTTTGTGGTAACTGTACTCACTTTTGGTTTCTTCTCTTCTTTTGCTAACAGTCGGACAGAGGGAGCCTGAAGATGTAAGGAAGAAAGACTTGGGCAAAGACACAGCTGCCAACTCTGTGGCTGTTGAGGACGTCACACAGGACAAGCAGGAGGAAATGCCGGAAATGATTGAACAGATTCCTTCTTCAGAAGGCAGCTTAGAAAAGGCAACACAGCCTCCTGAGGCCCCGGCTGATGACATTGGGGAGCCCCGTGTGGAGACTGGAGAGGCAGCAGCCAAAGGGAGTGAACGGAAGCTCTCCCTGGGGAAGGCGGAAGACACCCTGAAGCACCAGCAACATGACACTGAAATTTCTCTCACCGCTGGGTCTGGCCAAGCAGCAGCAGAAGGCGGGGATGAAGGAGAATCAGCGCTGGAGAAAGAACCCACTAAGTCTCCCGAGTCTCCCACCACCCCAGTCACCAGTGAGACCACATCGACCTTCAGGAAATTCTTCACCCAAGGATGGGCCGGCTGGCGGAAAAAGACGAGTTTCAGGAAGCCAAAGGAGGAGGAACTGGAAGCTTCTGAGAAGAAGAAGGAGCAAGAGCCAGCAAAGGCAGACACAGAGGAAAACGAGAAGCCAGAAGATACCTCTGAGCAGCTCGCAGCTTCGGAGCAGCCCCAGAAGCCCGCGCAGGGTGCGGAGGAGGGCAGATTATCGGCCGACTACGAGAAGGTGGAGCTGCCCTTGGAGGATCAAGTCAGCGGCGTGCAGAGCCCTTCTGCAGAGAAATGTGCTCCACTGGCAACAGAGGTATTTGATGAAAAAGTAGAAAACCACCAGGAAGTTGTTGCCGAAGTCCACGTTAGCAGCAGAGAGAAGGAAATAGAGGCGCTAGAAGCAGACATGGGAGAAACACAAGCCTTGCCATCTGAAAAACTGCCAGAAACCAATGCTCAGGAGACCCAGGAAGCTGAACTCGCTGAGACGCTGGAGAAGACCAAAGAAGCGTGTGCCTCGGGCGGAGACCCCAGCCGGCCGACAGAGCTGAGTCCCGACGAGAAGGTGTCACCCAAACACCCCGAGAGCGTCGTGAGCGACGTGGCCACGCTGTCATCACAAGACAGAGTCAAGGTGCAGGGAAGCCCCCTAAAGAAACTGTTCTCTAGCAGTGGCTTAAAGAAGCTTTCTGGGAAGAGACAGAAGGGGAAACGAGGAGGAGGTGGAGGAGGAGACGAGGAGTCAGGGGAAAATCATCAAGGCGCGGCGGAGTCTCCGGATAGTGCCGATGAGCAGAAGGGCGAGAGCTCGGCTTCATCCCCGGAAGAGCCCGAGGAGATTACGTGTCTGGAGAAGGGGATCGCAGAGGGGCAGCACGAAGGCGAGGCCGAGGAAGGAACCACTTCCGACGGAGAGAAAAAGCGAGAGGGCGTCACTCCCTGGGCGTCATTCAAAAAGATGGTGACCCCCAAGAAGCGCGTACGCCGGCCTTCCGAAAGTGATAAGGAAGACGAGGTGGAGAAGCTCGACAAGGTCAAGAGTGCCACCTTGTCTTCCACGGAGAGCGCAGCCTCTGAAATGCAGGAAGAGATCAAAGGCACCGGCGAAGAGCAGAAGCCCGAAGAGCCGAAGCGCAAGGTGGACACATCGGTGTCTTGGGAGGCATTGATCTGCGTGGGGTCCTCCAAGAAAAGAGCGAGGAAAGCGTCCTCTTCTGATGAGGAGGGAGGACCAAAAGTGGTGGGAGGAGATGCCCACAAAGCAGAGGAGGCTGCCAGAGACAAAGAGACGGCTGCCGACTCGGGCCTGGCTGGCGCCCAGGAGCCGGATCAAGGGCAGGGAAGCTCCTCCCCTGAGCCGGCGGGAAGCCCCTCCGAAGGGGACGGTGTTTCCACCTGGGAGTCATTTAAAAGATTAGTGACCCCAAGAAAAAAACCCAAGTCAAAACAGGAAGAGAAAAGCGAAGAATCTGGTGTTGAGCATTCAGCTTCCGATGTTGAACCTGGGAAAGAAGAATCTTGGGTTTCAATTAAGAAGTTTATCCCTGGACGGCGGAAGAAAAGGTCGGATGGGAAACAAGAACCAGCCACCGGTGGAGACACGGGGCCCACCGAAATCAATGAAGAGGACTCTGATGTCCCGGCCGTGGTGCCTCTGTCCGAATATGACGCTGTGGAAAGGGAGAAGATGGAAGCTCAGCAAGCCTCCCAAAGTGAGGGTCTGTCTGAGCAGCAGGTGGGTGTGGATGTGCCCGAGACACTCAGTCAGAAGCTGGCGCCTTGTGTGACAGTGGCTATGGTCGATGGGACAAGGGCAGTTACAAGTGTGGAAGAACGGTCTCCTTCTTGGATATCTGCCTCTGTGACGGAACCGCTTGAACAGGCACAAGATGAAGCCACACCATTAACTGGGGAGGTGACTGAAAGCGAAGTAACAGCAGAAGAAACAGCCACAGCCACCCAGACTGTGCCCGAGGTCAGAGAGACCCCCAGTGACACGATCACTAGCAAAGTGGAATTAGCTGCTGAGACAGTGACCGCTGCAGATCCTGCTGAGGTGCTCTGCGCCACTGAAGAGGCCACTGAAACATCGGCTGCAGAAGAGACCACAGAGATGATTTCTGCAGTTTCCCAGCTCACTGACTCCCCCGACACCACCGAGGAAGCCACCCCCGTTCAGGAGGTGGAAGGCGGTGGGCTAGATGCAGAAGAACAGGAGCGGCAGACTCAGGCCATCTTACAAGCAGTTGCAGAAAAAGTAAAAGAGAAGTCACAGTTGCCCAATAGCAGCAGGGCTGAAGATGTGACACTGGTCATGCAGAGAGCAGAACCAAAAGTCCTGGAGAAGGTGGAGGAAGCACAAGAAGATGCTGAAGCAGTAGTGCTGAGAGTAAACGTCCAGAAAACAAAAACTGAGCATTTTACAGAAGGGGAGGTAGCAGTGCAGGCTGCCCCTGAGGGCTGTGAGGAAGTTCAGGTCTCAATGAGTACAGAAGCTGGGGAGCTTGTAACCATGTGCCAATCTGAGGACTTAGCTGGGGTGCAGCCCCCCGAGCAGCCTGTTCTCCCTGACTCAGCAGAAACCCTGACCGACAGTGAGACCAATGGAAGCACCCCGGTGGCAGATGTTGAGGTGCTAGACACAATACAGCAAGATGAGGTCACAGACGAGCAAGAGAACCATGTGGTTGCTTCTGATACCCAGTCACTGGTTGGGTCTGCAACACTGCCTGCTGTACAATCCCAGGAAGAATGTAAAGAACAATTAAAACCAAAAGAAGGTCTAGAACCTAAGGATCAAGAGCTGTCAGGGGAGGCCATAACCATAATATCCAAGACTGACGTGTTTCAAGAGTCCTGCCAGCTTGCTGACGGAGAAGCTAGAGACAGACCATGCATTGGTGGCCTTGTCGCCTCTACACATGTGGCCAGTCAGGAAAAAGTCACTGAAGTTCCCTTTAGAGGTGAACTGCCTGAAGGAGCAGAATGTCAGAAGAATGGTAACACAGAATTCCAGAGTGCAGGCCCAGAAGAAGGAGAGGGCATAGCTCGGGAGGAAAAAGAGAAAGGTGATGCAGAGAGGGCACAAGACGGTGAAGAAAAAGTTGAGTCCAAATCAGTTGAAGGGCTCCATCAGCAGCTAGTCCAGACAGCAGATGTGCGCCCCGCAGATGGGGAGAAGGAAATAAGCAGCTCTGAAGGAAGTGCTCCTCCTCCTCCTCCAGATGAAGAGGGAGCAGGATGTGTCGACACTCAAGGCCAGGGCCCCAAGGCCCCTGTGATGGCCACAGCCGCAGCAGTGGGGGAGGAGGTCCTAGGAGACACTGGCAGGATTTCAGGGCCTGCGGGTGCACACCTGGGACCAGCAGAAAGGTCCTCTGGAGAAGACGAGGTCTGGAGTCCGGTCAGAGTGTCAGCCATGCCTGAGAAAGACCTGCCCCAGGCCCTGGAGGGAGAGGAAAGCACATTTCAGGAACAGAAAGCGGATGAGGGCGAGTGGGGCCGTGGAGCAAGCCCAGCCGCCCAGGGCAGCCCGCAGGCCGAGAGCCAGATCTTGGAACTTGAGACTGAGAGCAGTAAGCTCGTGCAAGACATCATCCAGACAGCTGTGGGCCGGGTCTCCCGGACCGAGGAATCGGTGTCTCAGGCCGAAGCCTTTCCGTCTGACACAGCCACCGAGGCTCCCCTGGCACCGGCTGACAGCCAGGAAGCCAGACAGCTGGCATCTGTGCGGGATGAGATGCAAACTACAGCCACCCCACCTGAGTCCCAGCCTGCCACCCAAACACCTGAGCTTCCTGATGCCGCCGAAGATGGGAACGGAGCTTCAGCAGAGACCCTGGCAGCCGAGGCTAAAGGTTCTGGTGTGGACCAACAGCAGCTGGAAGAGGGGGTGTGCCCAGCCGGGGCAGAGAGCAGTGCAGCGAAGCCCACCCAGTCAGGAGAAAAAATAGACAAGTCACCTCCTGGCTCCCAAGGCCACGAAGAGGAGGATCCCACCCAGGAGCCCGAGGACCCCAACACAGCCCAGACAGACACGGAGGCCCTGGGAGCCTGCACCAAAGAGTCCTCAGACACCAACGGACCAAAACTAATGGAGAAGGAAGCAGGAGCTCAGGGAGAGAAGGAGCACAGAGAGTCGGAGAAGGACCTGGAGTCCAGGAAGGCTGAGAGCGAGCCGGCCGAGTCCTAAGGTGCTGTGTGAGTAGCTTCCCACGCTTCTGAGACAGCTGCCCTCCTGGGCGCCACTGGGCGGGGAATGGGTTATAAAGGAACCTCGGGAGTTCCCATGAGTGATTTTTGTATACCTTTCAGTTGGGAAATAACTACCAACTAGAAAGGGAGATCTAGAGTAGTTTCCTATTCTCCCTTTATTGAAATATCACTTTAGTCTCATTGATGCCGTGAAAATAAGGGTTTTGTTTTACCCTTAACATGAGTGCTGCAATAAAAAGAAAGGAATGTGTGTTTGGCTCAAGGCATAAGAAGTACAGTGTACTTGCTCAGCATAGTACTAACTAATTGACATTTTTTTAAAAAAATAATAAGCAGCCAGAAGTAGGAGAAATTTGGTTTATTATAATACTTTGGGGGGGAGTTCTGAGAATATTAATGGATAATTTTTTAATTTTCCAATCCATGTGAGCTTCAGGAAGCACTATCTATAATTATGAATTTTGTGATAGTGTGGTATAATACAGTGTGGACCCTCATTTTCTCTTTTTTGGTCTTTTTGAGATAGGGTTTTGCTATATAGTTCAGAGTGGCCTTGAGTTCACTTTGTAGCCCAGGCTGGTCTCGAACTTACAAGGATCTTCCTGCCTCAGCCTTCCGAGTACTGGGATTAAGGGCATGTGCCACCATGCTTGGCCTATATTTAATTATTTATTTTTTATTTATCTTTATTTTTTTGGTACTGGGGATTGAACCCAGGTCTTTATACTTGCCAGGCAGGCACTTGGACTGGTGAGCTATCTCCATAGCCCTTAATTTTTTAAAAATTTTGAGTTTTTTGGTTTTTTTTCGGAGACAAGGTCTCACTGTGTAGTTCTTGCCTTAGCCTCCCAAGTGCAGGGATTATAGGTGTGCACCAGGGATTGAACTCAGACCCTTGCACTTGCCAGGGAAGCACTTATTCTACTGAGCCATCTCCCTGGCCCCTGCTTCCTCTCTTTAATGAGCTTACATTTTGTTCATTGGATTCTTGGTTAGCTACAGTTCAACTGCACAGCTGTTCTGTTGTTGGTAAATGATAGCGAAAAAGGAGGTTTTATTCACTCTGCTTCTTCCTGCCACTGTTAATGTCGTTGGATACTTGCAGGACCAGAATGTGAAGACAAGTCACGGAAGAAAATGCTGCTGCTGAGACTCAAGACCCGGTAGTTCAGAACTTGGAGAACCAGAGAGCAGGCGCACCCGCTGATCTCACACACATAGCACCCCAACAATCCTGAGGCTTCATCGGGAGCTACAGCCATATGACACTGCCCTTTGTTCAAGACCACCTATTATTTTTCCTTGAAGTCATATGATATTTCTGAGTTGAGGTCCTAATTTCTGACCTGGAACTGGAGTTGGCAACATCTTCTCAAACTGGAGTACCGTCCTTTATGTATTTATGTGTCTGGAGTAATCCTCTTTCTTTATCTATTGTATGTTTTGGCTTTTTGTTTTGTTGTGTTTTATTTTTCTTTAAAGACATGTGCAGCACCGTACATGCCTTTGGTTATCTTACAACATTGGGCAGGGCATGCGGCTTGTGGTGAGGCCCTGGCAAGTTTAATGCCTCATTCTGACCTGTGAAAAACAGCTCTCAACAAGTAACATTCCTGGTGAGAAGGTACAATTCTTACTCTGAAAATTCACTAAAGCTTAGATCCATGCTCAGTAGTACTCAGAAACTGGTCACTTGCCTATTATGCACAGTGAGCTAAAAATAAAAAGCATTTTGAAACACACAGAATGTTCCATTGTTACTGTGAAATTTTTCTTTTAGTTCAGCAGAGGTTGGAAGCTTTTTTTCATGAGCTGATGAAGTCTTAAGTCTTTCCTCCTAATTGTTAAAATGGCTTGGACAGATGAGTGTGCTTAATTCTGAGGCAGCATAGTGAAATGCTTTTCATGTTATATAGAAAGAATTGGCTATTGTACGTTGTTGATTCCGCTCTTATAATCTGGACCGCATTCGCCCACAGAATGAAACGAGTCAAGTCCCCTTCTTTATAAATGGTATTTTGATAGATACTGGATTGTGTCTTGTGTCATACTTGTGCCCTTTCTTTTAAGAACAATGTTGCATTATGTTCATTTGGATAAACTGTGATTTAACAACTGATTTAAATAAAATACTTGGCTTTCACTTAGGTTTGCTGGTTTTATTAGGTACTAGGAAGTGAGGACTGAATGTTACTGTAGGAGAATAAGATAATGGTGGACCAGATAGCCGATATGGAAGACCCAGTACTTTGTGCTGGTTGAGGTCAGATTTTCAGAGGAGAGGAAATTTTCATGGGAGAGACGCATTTTCAAATCAAACTGCTAGCATTTCAGACATTGGGTACAGTTCTTCATGTGGTAATTCCAGTTTGCCATGATAATAATTCAGGCTTCAGATAATGCTTTTAGAAAGAAAGTTTAAGAGGGCTTAATCAACAGTAAACATCCTTTGTCAAAAGAACGAGACCTTGGAAAAAACTTTTAAAAGTGTCCCTATGCTAAATCATGCTAAAAAGTAAGAATTTCATCACACAGTGTTATTCAAAAAACAGGCTGTCACCTGTCTAGTGCGAAGTTACACGTATGTCACACAGAGCTGGCCTGGCAAAGTTCGGATTGGACTTTTATCTCAGTACTCCAGTTTGAGAATTTAAAATGTGACTGCTAGTTAATGATTCTGAAAAGTCTAATATTCTAGAAAGCCTACTTCTAGTGGGAGAAAATTTGCTGTTAAAATTCAAAGTTATTTTCTCATATGTTAATATACCTGATTACATAAATAATTGGCTAAGCTAGTAAAATACCTCCCGGTAGCAGCAAATAGTCTTGTAGTTGGAAAACTGAATTTAACATCACTTTAATAGCTATTTTTGAGTATACCTAATAGTCACCTTGCTATAAGAATTAAATGGTAAAATAGCAAAATTTATCCAGGTGTGGTGACACACACCCCTGCAATGCCAGTGACTCCAGAGGCTGAGGGAGAATGATTGCAAATTGGAATTGAGCTGGTACAACTTAGTGAGGCTCTGTCTCAAAGTAAAACTAGAAAGGGCTGGCTGAGGACCCCTGGGTTCAAGCTCCAATACTGTTTTTAAAAATTACCACATTTCGGCTCCCCTCCCCTACTTTAAAAGAAGCTAGCTGGGGAGATAGCTCAGTAGAATAAGCACCTGCTTCCAAGTGCAAAGTCCTGAGTTCAATCCCTGGTACTGCAAAAATAAATAAATAAAAGAAGCCAAAGTGCTGGTGGGGCCTATTTCTGAACATCAGCAAGAAGATACTGGAAGGGCCGGTGAGATAGCTCAGTGGACTAAGCACTTGCTTAGGAAAGCCCAGGGGCCAGGGTTCTATCCCTGGCACCACATGCTGCACCAGCCCTGCCCTCTGGGTGTGCTGAGCCAGCAGTGGAGTCCAGGCATGGTGTTGTGCTCCTGTAATTCCAGCACTAGGGAAGCTGAAAACAGGAGGACCACTACGAGTCCAAGCTGCATAGTGAGACCCTGCAGACAGAAAAAAGATACTGGAGATGACAACAAATTGTAAGGCATGCTTACCAACTAACTTCCTCCCTGTGGCTGCTTTGAACAGATGCAGTGTGCAGCTGTCCCCTCTTGTCACACAGGCCCAGGGGACTGGCCCTCCACGCTGGCCCCTCCAGCGGCAGCTGCTTCATGACCGCGCGCTTTGTACTGTTACCTGATGATCCCTGGGCTGCTTCTGTACAAGCTGGCCATGTAGGTCTGTTCAGTCCTGTTGTCTTCTTAACAAGAACAGTAGCCTGAGACACAATTCTATTTTGTAATTCTAAAGCTGCTGTTAATTTGTGAGCATAATCAAATGTAAGCTGCAGACGCTGGAGCAAGTGCCTCAATTTTGCAGTTTTTGGTGTTACTTTGGAACCCTGTACAATAGAAATTCACGCCGCAAGACCTGTAAACTCTTGCTACTTGTACTTGAGGAATACACATGTTTCCCTCAGGTTATTTTGCTTACTGGTACCTGTGAGTTGCCTCTCTGTACATAGATCCTTTGTCCCAATATTTTCCATTGATGTTTGGAACTATGGATAGTTCGGGTTTAGCTTTCCATGTAAGCTTCGAGTTTGTAGCAGTTACCTCTACTTCAAGACAATATTTGATTCCTAGTTCTGTTCGGGGCCAATTTTCATTAAATAAAATATATGTAATTAAATGCCATGGATTTTCTCTAATTTCACATTAAGCTCCATATCGCTCCTCTGCTCGCAGCTGTGATGTTCATCTCACGAAGTTCTGACCACTTCTTACCAACTAACTTCTTCCTTGTGGCTGCTTTGAACAGATGTAGTCAGTGTACAGTTGCCCCTCTTGTCACACAGGTCCAGGGGACTGTCCCTCCATGCTGCACAGAGCATCATGGGAGAAGGGAAATGAAGGTATCCGGGATATGTGAGAGCACGCCCAAGGCTCTCGCTGACTTAGCTTGGTGGGCCTGGCCCCTCTGGCTAGGATCGCACCAGGCCTCTGGTTGACCATGCAGACAGTTTAATGTAGCTTAACACGGCAAAAAACAAAGGCCATTGTGGCAAAGTCCAAATCCACATGCCTCTTCCTCTCTACTGTGGCTCCGCAGTGTGTCTGCTGAGCACGCACACCACACAGTCCTCACACACAATTTTCTCCGGCCAGTCACTGGAATCTGAGAGGTCCGGTGCCTAACTTTACATCTGGGAAAGCTGAGCCCTGTTGAGCCATAGTGCTCGTTTTGGCCAAGCTGGCCTTGGGGAGAGTACAGTGGCGAAGATGATCAGGACTTCTTAAAAATCCTACCCTACTCTAGTGACTCCACTCTCTGTGTCTCAACCCGACAGCCAACTTTACCAGTTATGCTCTCCTACTTGCGAGTATTCATGTCTCACCACACAGAAAGTGAAGATGGGTGAGGTGGAGCGTGCCTGAATCCTGGTGCTAACCTGAGGCAGGAAAAACTGCGAGCTCAAGCTGTCCCTCGGCTTAAGGCCCTTGCTAAAAGGAGAGAGGCTAAGAATGCTGCTCAGTGTGAAGGCCCTGGGTTCTGTCTTCAATGTCACAAAAATAAGTGCAAACAGGACCAGAGTGAGTTTTACATGTAACCTCCTCAGAGCTTCCCTACAGCCCTCCTATTTGGAGATCAAAGGTAAAGGAACACACCCTAATTGACAAAACAGTTCCTTTACCATACAGAGTTCTGAGGAATAAATCAGAACTCAGCCTTATGCTTTTCTGTTTGTTCTAACAGTTCCAAATAGCGTGGTGCAATTAATGAGTACAAAAGCAACACTTAAAACTAGTTTTAAAACCATTTTGTGAGTTGGATATGGTGCCACACACTTGTAATCCCAGCACTCTGGAAGGCAGAGGCAGAAAGACTACAAATTTTGGCCCAACACAGGCAGTTTATAGTGACTAAACAAGATCCTGTCTCGTAATAAAAACAGCTGGAGAGATGGCTCGGTGTGAGGCTGGGATTCGATCCCAGGACTGCAAATCAAAAACCCTGTTGTGCTTCCTTGATTTTATTTGCTGCTCCCAAAGCTTACCTGAAACAGCAGATGAGGTTGTCCTCAGAAGTTTGACCCATGGAACTAGCGTTCTTTTTTGGAGAGGGCCAGGACATCCCAAGAAGCGGGGCTCTGTCTACCTCAGCAGTTTTAGGTGTCTGGGCTGTGATAGTGTCACCCTTCGCCTCTGTGTGCCCTGAACCTGTTGTGGGTATCAAAATGGCTAGGAGGTTACTGATGTATCATGAACTGAGACTGCAGAAGTGACATCTGCAAGAACAGTCTCACATAAACAAGAGTTTCTCTCTGAAATACCAATAGCATCTAAGTTGCAAGGAGCTGAAGTGGAGGCTGGGAGAAGCCATATAATCTGTTACGATTAACCTACGTGAGAGCTGGCAGGGACAGAGGGGCGAAGTTTGGCTGAAGAACCCTGGGGGAAATTAAGAGCTCTTAGGGGACGGAATCAACAGTGCATAATAAATGCCCACATATCTGTCCATGTCGTTTCTGCAGCCCCAACCTGGATGTGCAGTCCCTCGCTGATGTGCGGTTGGGGGGAACTGCTAATTGGGGAAATACTTCAGGACTTTTGCATTGAACTACATCCCTAGCTCTCTTAAATTTTTATTTTTATTTTTTTATTCGGGTAAATTGGCCAGCTGGGAAGGCCAGCCAAATAGCTCAGTGGATTAAAGTACCTGCAAGCAGGTGCAGGGGCCGGGGGTTTGATCCCCAGGCCTGCTGCTCCGGCCCCACCCGCAAGGCGCACTGAGGTGGCCATTGAGAGTGGGTGGTGCATGCCTGTAATCCTAGCTCTTGGGAGGCTGTAAACAGATGGATCACTACGAGTCTGACTTAGAAGGAGAATGTGAGACAGATCGATGCCCTGTCCATTCATGAGACCTCTGCACAGAGCCTTGCAACTTTCGTTAAGTCTGCACAAGTTTTGGTCCGTGATCGGAAAAGGTACGGTTTAGTCACCCTTTATCTCCTGAGTCCTCTTCAGAAAGTCTTAAGTACAGGCTGAGAATATAGTTCAGTGGTCTAAGCATCTGCCTGGCAAGTGCAAGGACCTGGGTTCAAGCCCCTGTACCACATGCTGTGCCGGCCACCGAAACCAGGTGTGGTGGTGCATGCCTGCAATCCCAGCACTGGGGAGGCTGACACAGGAAGATCACTGCAAGTCTGAGCTGTATAGCGGTACCCAGTACCAAACAAATAAAAGATTTTTAAAATATTAAAAAAAGTCTAAATACACCATGACTTTCCTGATATTAGAATGCTTTAGGACTTTCCAATGGCTGATGAACTAGAGCTGTCTTAAATGTTCTGATAGATTCAGAATAACAGCTCTGCTCTTCCTTAAAATTCGTCCTTCCTCCTTGTCCCGTTGTCTCTGACACTGGTGAGGCAGGGGCAGCCTTTGGAGGAGGCCCTTTCCCACGCACTTCCGGGGACCCCAGTCTGTTATTCAGGCTCCTGGTTTTCTCAGGCTGGTTGCCTTCCAACCTTTGTCTGCTTTGGGGTATCTCTTATCTACTTGAAAGGAGAAAAGAATAAAAACATTACAGAAAACAAACAAACAAGAAACCACAAAAGTCTCGGATTTCCTAGGCAGTGTAATGGTTCAGAAGAGTTTCCGGGCAGCCGGTACTCTACAGAAACTGCGATTGCTTGAGAACTGGATCCAGGGCCTTCACACTAAGCTACTTTTGTTGTTGCTGTTATTCTGTTGCCCAGGCTGGGCTTGAGTTTGTCATTTTCCTGCAGTCTCCCAGGAGCCTGGTATTACAATTTGGGCAAAGAAATTTATGGCCTTAGGTAATAAATTACCTGCTGCAGCTCTGTTTCCTCATCTGGATCTTCGCCGAGGCTGCACATGTGGCCTCTGGAAATGATTTCAGGTATGTGAGTCCCGTCCCCCCGCCCTTATTCTGTGCTCATTTAGAGTGAGACCAGGGAGGTTTAGCATGAGCCCTGGAGCCTTCAACTACGTGCTTACGTTAGTGACAGATGGCTAAGCGCGCGGGAGGGCGCCGACTCCTGTCTGCCTCTGGTTGGCTCCTTCGGGATTTATTCTGAGCCACCCGTAGAACCATAGCAGAAGGGTCCGGGGAGATGGCTCAGTGGAATAAGCACTTCCCTGGCAAGTGCCAGAGCCTGAGTTCAATCCCTGGTTCCGCAAAAAAAAAAAAAAAAAAAAAAAAAGAATGTCATGGTTCTCAAAGTAGGTCCCTGGCACCTGGGAATTCTTGGGCCTGGGAAATAGGAAACAGACTGGGCGTGGTACAGAACTCCTGTAGAGGCTGTAAACAGGAGGATCACTGTGAGCCCGATCTACACAGTGAGACCCTGTAGACCCTGTCCTAAATACAAGAAAGAAAGAAAGAAAGAAAGAAAGAAAGAAAGAAAGAAAGAAGAAAGAAAGAAAGAAAGAGAAAGAAAGAAAAAGAAAACTCTTGGGCCTGCTGAGGGCTATGGTGGATGCCTATGCTCCCAGCACTTGGGAGATTGAGGCAGGAGGATCACCATGAATTCAAAGCCAACCTTGGCTACATAGTGAGTTCAAGGCCAGCCTAACTACACAGTGAGACCCTGCCTCAAAAAAATGTTTTGGGATCCAGGATCTGGCAAGTGCAAGGAAGGTCCTGAGTTTGGTTTGTTGATCAAACCCTCCAGATTCTGCGGCACGTAAGTTGGAGGGCCACCAAGGTGCTATAAGGATATCAAATGGCTTTCAGTCATTTGCCTTAATAGCAGGATGGCCAGGGTAACAGGTGAAAATGTTCTCCCATCCCCTTCCCTCCAGTTATGTCTACCTCATAGAAACGTTTGCATGTTTGAGAAGGTATCATTGTTCTTTTACAACTTAGACAAATTTAGGTCTAAAGCCGAATACATACACAAAAATAGCCTAGGTTGTTTTTACTCTGACTCTTGCTTTCCTTTTTTCTTAAATCACAGGTAGGCTTGTCATGCTGGTTATGGTGGTGTATGCCCAAAACTTCAGCTACTGAGGAAGCTGAGGCAGGAGGATCCTAAATTGGAGACCAGCTTATATAACTTGGTGAGATTGTGTCAGAATAAAATAAAACGGGCTGGAGCTGAGGCCGAGTGGCAGGACACTAGCTAGCATACATGAGGTCCTGGGTTCAATTCCTAGTCCAAGAAACACAGACACCCAGGGCTAGTCAAACTTGGTATATTGGACAGTGAGGAAGAATGCTGTTTTTTGAGTAAGTTACATGGGTTTGAAGCATGGCTGTATCTGTTTGGCAGCATAATGTTAGCAATGTTACGTAATAGCCACACATGGTAGCACATGTCTATAGTCCCAGACTTTGGGGGCCGAGGCAAGAGGATGGATTCTAGTTAAAGACCAACATGGACTGTGTGAGACCTTGTCTCAAAACACAAACAATAGAAAAAGTTACTTAACACTCCTGGGCCTCAGTTTTTTCCTCTGAGAAGTGGGAGATGTGCCTGAGAGAATTAGGAGTGGTAAATGCGTGTGCCAGGTAGGCAGACACAATCCACCCAGCAAGCCCTATCCAAACTACAAGCTGACAGTGGTTCTTCACAAAGCGTTTTCTTCATGACCAGGCAGTTTCAGCAGGACAATTATTTATCATCTATTCCTCAGCTTGATTAATGAATTTAGTAAATTCTTTATGCTCAAGGCTACTGTGTTCTGTGTAAAGCCAGAGAATGTAACTTTCATTCTGGTCTTTTTTTTTTTTTAATGTATTTGGTACAGGGTCTCACTACTCTGCTCGGACTGAGTGATCTTCCTGTTTTCAGCCTCAGTGCTGGGATTACAGGCATGCGCCACACTGCCTGGTCTCATGGCTCAGCACATCTGGGGTGGGGGCGGGGTTGGCACGGCATGAGGCGCTGGCACAGCATGTGGTGCCAGAGATCGAGTCCTAGTCCCTGAACTTGCCTAAGAGGTGCTTAGTCTGTTGAGTTACCTTGCCAGGTTTGGTCTATTTTTTTTTAACACTAAAAATTCTAATTTTTATCTTAGGGAACTGCTAACAGTTAATATTCTTACAGTCCTGTTGAAGGAGCCTTTCACTGAGAAGAGACAGCTTACTTGCGCTGTGTCGGGGTCCAGACACTGACTCTTCACTTGTCCAGCAACGTCTAAGCGTACCACTGCTTCCCTGCAGATGACGAATAGCAATCATCTGTCCTCAACTGAAATGAACACTAAAACCAAGCTGACTGCAACTTAAACATTAGGAAGGGCCTGGAATTTGTTGTCAAGTCCAATTGCACTGCAATTGGCCACACAAACCCTCTATGAAATGTTGAGTTCACAGCTACTGAAGAGTGCAAGGGCCTCCCGCTCCCTCTGGAGCCCAGCCAGATGGTTCCTTCCTTCCACAGTTCACCTCTACTGAAATGTGGCAGTGCAGGCTTTTTCCTCGTGGAAGAGTTCATTTTGGATGCTCCAGCCATTTGCCTTTCAGTGGTTTATGACTTGAGGGTCAGAGGTCGGTCTGTTCTCTCCGCTTGCACCAACCCCACTGCTCCCTTTGAACAGCAATGCTGTGGGCACAGAAACACATTTCCTGTGGTGAAACCCTACCACACTTTTTACAAAAGGTATTTTTTTGTGTTTTAAACAAACGAGTTACTTTCTTTTCTTTACGAGTTACTTTCTTGAGACAGCTTATGTAGTTCAGGTTGGCTTTGAACCCATGGCAATCCTGCTGCCAGTCTCCTGAGTGCTGGGATTACAGGTGTGCGCCACCACGCTGGCTTCAGTCACTTTTATTTTTTTTGCGCAACCAGGGATTGAACTCATTCTACTGAGCCATCTCCCTGAATCAGTCACTTTCTATTGCTCACCCTGGGAAGGAAACCTAACAGTGGTGTTAGTAAGGGTTAGAACTAGAACTGCAGCTTGAATGGATCCTGATGTGTGCATGTTCAGATGCTTCTAGTGATAGTGACATTTTTGGAGGTTTCATGGGCATCAGACAGCTGGCCGTGGCACTTGTGCCATAGGTTCTCCATGGAGATCTCTAAAGACCAACACTTACAGGTATAACCATAGGGTTTGGAGCAGGCAGTGAGCATTCAGGGCAGGTTGGGCTTACCATTTGTACTCAGCTCCTCTCTTCACTGTGGGGGGCGGGGAGGGTTTGGTCCTCACCCTTGGACTTCCATGACTTTCTGGTCTCCAAGGCTCTGCCTCTGGCTGCACCTTGTGTCCCTCTAGGGGTCACCCTCATTTATTTACCTTTCATACACTCCAAGTTAGTGTGGCACAAAGCTGTTAAGCTGGGAGATGGCAAAGATGAAATTAATGGAAACCATTCAATATTTTATAATCTAGGTTGTATTATCTTGAGGGAAGCACCCCCTCATCTCCTTTCTTCCTTATAAACAGTTGGGTAAGTCAATCTCTGGGGCACATTTCAGGCCAACCTTTGACTACTACTAGCCTCTTCAGAGTTCACTTATGTGATTCGTGTGACTTCGTGACCAAAGGCAGCGGTCAGTGCCACTCGGTAGGGAACTGTCCAGCAAGGTGTTTCCAGGGAAAATGACTTTGGGTGCGATGCTTCTACACATTCCTTTCTGCATCTCTTTGGGTAGATGAAGACAGATAAAATCATATGCCCATTTAATCGTTTATTCAATGAAAGTATGTATAAAAACTTACAAATTTGAGAACTCAACTATACATATAACAGGATGATGGGATATTCGGTTCTTAAAGAATACATACAGTATAGCTATTGACTACTCTCCCCTCCCTTTCCCCTTCGGTCTTTACTCTGGCTCCTATTTTATCACGTAAGACCATTTTCTCATTGGCCTAAAGGTATATTAATGGACAATTTCTACTGTTTTCAGCCCGCTGGAGAAAATTTCAGATATTTAAAAACAAAAAAACAAGAGAATACAGTTTTTTTTTTCCCAAATAGCAATTAGTTTTTTTGGGGGGTGGGTTGGGGTGGGTCCAGGATTGAACCCAGGGCTTGTGCGTGCTGCACAAGCGCTCTACCGCTAGATTCTGTCTCCAGCCCTAGCAATTAGATTTTTTTTGTCCTGATTTCTCTTTGCCATTTTTGGTGCTTTAATGAACCGTGCCAGTAAACTGTTAGTGTTGACTTTTAAAGTCATTAAAGTTATATCTTCTGCTCAACTTTCCATGTAAGATATATATTTCTATATCGTTTCCTCTCCAGTATACACATACACTGATTGAAAAGCAGCAGGTTGGCACTGAAACAAATTTACCACTGTCAAATGACATGTCATCTTCTACTCAGAAAGATAATCTATAGACTCTCTCTTTTCAATCTGATTTTAAAAACAAACACATTTGTCATTTTGCTGTTGTTCAAGTTGGAAAGAAGCCAGCAATTGGATAAGGCATGTGCATTAATCCACTGGTTTACAGGAAGTACCCACATGTTTTACACACACACAAACTCACAGCTTGTCAGGTTTTATCCAAAAATTAAGATTGCCATCACATTATTACTCTCTTTTCTGTTTTGTTAAAGGAGATTTCTTAACTGGACATAATCGCAAAGGATGCATTCTGAAATAAGACACCTGGAAGGTAAAATACTGAAAACATTTTCTTGGGTTTGAAGTTTCCACTCCATCTAGATTTTGCATAGTACAGAGCCCAGAATTACCTCTTAGCCACCTTATACTTTCTGATATTACTTTTTTCTGAAAAGGAAGACTTATTACCCAGGGAAAGTCATAATTTTAGCTTACCAAATTATATTCTAGTTGTTCTGTTTTGTATATACCCTTAATTAGTTCCAAGTATGCTTTTAAATAATCTAAAACTTCTCAAAATCTACTTAAGTGTTTAAGTTCTACTGACCATTATCTTTCCAATATCCCTTGAATGAAAGTAAGTAGGTTCCAGGTTTATAATGCACGAAGCCTTTACAGAGGTGGGGGTGGGGGGAGGTGGTGGGGGGAGGCGGTGGGGGGAGTGGGGATGGGGACCTGCTCGGATCATGCCATGGAGAACTACGAATCTGAATGGAGGGAAGAGAAGGAAGATAGTTTTTGTAAAAATGACAGTTTTTAAAAAAGACAAGTAACATTCAGTCTAGTAATACAGTTTCCTGTTCTTTTTTGATGGACGCTAACACTGGGTGGTCAGGTTCCGTCACTTCAGAGTCCCCACTGCCCAGGAGCACTGACCGCCCCTCGTCTAGGGCAAAAACGTCCGAGCTCTGGTTTTGGCATGAGTGTTTCACAACCTCGTTGGGAGTGGAGAATGTTTTGTCACACAAGTTGCACTTGTAGGGTTTGTTGGCCTGCACCAACATGTTGTCCATCTGACTGCCCTCCTCAAACGTGCAGAGCTCCAGAGTCTGCTTGTCCACCATGGTGTACGTGTCAATACTCTGGTTCAGGCACACGTGGCGGGCGGCCTGGTTGGCCCTGCAAAAGCTCTTGTCGCAAGTGCTGCATTTGAAAGGCTTCCCGGTGTGTATGTACATGTGTTCCCGCCAGTGGCTTTTCTGGATGAATTTGCGTCCACAGATGGTGCACTCGTACTTCCGCCTCTTTACCTCCCTCTCCTGGTCGGCCTGCTCCAGGTTGTCAATGTCAGCAATGTCTGAGGGCGGGGGGGTCTCTGACTGCTGCTGCCCATCGATGATGGGGGAATCCGAGATGTGCTGCAGCTCGCTGTCGCTGATCATCCCGGCTTCTGGCACTTCCATGGCGTCCTTGCCGAGGTCGGCTGCATTGCTGCACAGGGACAGGGGCCCGCGGCTCTCGCCCTGTGGGCCGGCTGCAAAAGGCACACCGGTGTGGATCTGCAGGTGCTCACGCAGGCTGCTCCGCAGGGTGAAGCGCCGGCCACACAGGTGGCAGGCGTAGTACTTGGGGAAGCTCCCGTTCCGCTTCATGATGCTCGGCTTGACATGAGCTATGGTGAGGGATGTAGGCTGCTCGTCGGAGGAAGAGGCTTCCAGATTGGTCTCCTCTCCGGAAGGAGGGGCAGGAACGGGAGTGGAGACGAGTTCCGGAGAGAGTGAGCTTGGCAGTGGGTCGGAGGAAGGCATGTTTGTCCGATTCACCTGGGTCAGGTTGGGGGGCAGCTGAGATAGCTGTGAGGCTGCATCTGGCACCTGCTCTGCACCCATTCTAGAGGCCGGAGGTCTTGGGTCCCGCCCAAGTTTTTCAGGTGCAGGGGTGATCTTGGTGGCTTGTCTCAACTGGTGGTCTGCGATCTGAATGCCATAGAGGGAGGAAGCCAGTGGAAAGACTTGGTCCGGATGGGTGAAGGTACCCTGGCTGGCAAGGCTGGCCTCCTGGATCAGCGGGTATGCGTGCAGGAACTTGATGCCCTGCTCCAGGCGGACCGGGTCGATGAGCTGCGGTGCCATCTTTCCAGTGTACATGAGGTGCAGGAGATAGCTGAAGATGTCAGGCTGGATGTCAGTGGGTTTCAGTCGGACACATTCGCTGAAAGAGAGGAGCAGAAGAATCTGTGAGTGACACCCATCTGTCTCAAATGACACATAGGCCCTGAAGAAACAAAACAGACCCTGGAAAACAAATGAACAAGAATGCTTCCCAGGACCACCGGCCTATCAGAGACTTGTGCTAGAAGTCTAGGGTCATGAATGACCTCATTTGGAGCCCAGCTGAGATCTTTGAGGTAAGTCAACAAGGACAGGGCTTTACTAGTGAGATGACATGGAGAGGGGGTCCAGCATGAACAAGGGTGGAAGGGCCAGACACTAAAACTACACTCAGACCTCCAGGAGCAGCTCCCTCCAGCATGAAGGCTAAAGCACGCAGAGCAGGGCAGTAAGGAAGGCCAGCACCTCCCAGGCACGGCCAGGGGTTGTTAAAAGCTGACCTGGAAAGGTTAATCCTATCCAGCGTCATCACCAGCACCCACAGGGCTCTCACTGAACTGCCCGCAGTCCCTGGGCACAGATGGGGGCGGGAGTGAGGGCTCAACGCCTTGCTCGCTATCACAGAGTTGGGAGGTGGTGGAACTGGAACCAGAATCTAGGCTTGTCTAACTCCAGAGTGTCACACCAAGATCCTTCAGGGCCACAGAACAGCCACCGGGGGCTTCACTTCCCCACTCACTGACAGGGAGCCCGAGGTCCCAAAAGCTAAGTGACCTGTCTGCAGCAACTGGCTGCACAGCTCGCTTTCGAAAGCTCAGATTCTACTCCTCCCACGACTTCAGAAGCAGCATCCTGAGCAAGCAGCGAGTAATGAAGAGGTCCCTGGGATGGCACTGTCCTCAGACCAGCATGGTAACAACAGCAATTCTAACGCATCCCTAGAAACCAATGGGGTGGGCAGCTATAGAGCATGCAGTGTAATTATCATCCATGGAGGAAGTTTATTCTATAGACAGTGCTTTTTTCAGATAGCTTCCAAGAATGTCTTTAGAATTTGAAAAAAGCTTTTTTGAGAGGATGACCAAAAAGAGGACCTCACACCAGCCAAGTGCTCTGCCACTGAGCGATATCCCCTGCTCTTTCTTATTTTGATGTCAGGGCTCCCCAAGTTGTCCAGGGGAGCAACTATTCCCCTGCCACCACTTGGGATGATCGTAACTTCCTGGTTTTATAGCAATCGTGTTTATTTTATTAACAAACATTTTTCAATATGCTAAAATATGAACAGCATGCCCTGTTTTTTATTCTATTAAAAAAAAAAAGAACAAAGTAACTTAACAGAGACTTGGGACAAGATGCAGTTGAGCAGCTACTGGGGTGCTGGCAATGTGTATATTTTAAGAAGACTGCACAAAAATAATCATTTGACAAGAGTTTGAATACAAAGTATGGAAGCTAAAGAATAAAAATAAAACATAAAAACTAATATTCCCTTGAGTTCAAAGGAAGAATAACTTTTGTGTGTGTGTGTGTGTGTGTGTGTGTGCGCGCATGCACGCGCAGGGTCTCATTACACAGCTCAGACTCATAGTGATCCTCCTGTTTTCGGCCTCCTTACTGCTGGAGTTACAGGCGTGCACTACCATGCCCAGATTCCATCACTGGCTCAGTGCACACCGGGGCGGGGCTGGCGTGGTATGTGGTGCCAGGGATTGAACCCTGGTCCCTGCGCTTGCTGAAGCAAGCATGCTTAGTCCGCTGAGCTATCTCACTGGCCGTTAACTCTTTTCCTTTTAAAAAGGCACACATATCATGCATATCTTTACTGGGTCTTTTATATTCCTTTAGATTACTGACATTATTTGAAACAGGAATGTAAATACAGGTGGTTTTTCCTTTAAACACAAGTTGTGTCTCAAACAATAGTGGAGTACAACATATTTAGATGCTGTAGGTAAATTCAATAAAATAAACCTTCAGGGATTATGGATGGTGAGGACGCTGTTAGTAACGTGAACAATCACCTCCCAGGTAAAGAAGAGACTGCAGGGACCAGTCTAGGATCAGGCCGAGGCCCAGGCAGCTGGGAAAGCTGGGTGCTGAGAGGTCTAAGGTGCCCCAGTCTAGTGATGGGCCTGGGTTCTGAGGCATGAACGAAGGGGTAGAGCCACAAGGCTCCACGGCCACCTCTCCACTCCCTGAAAGGAGAAGGGTAGAAATCCAAAGTGGGTTTGTTCTTTTAGCATCCACGAAGTATCACCCAGCTGAGGCCCTTTCCAGTAAACCCCTGGTGTGAGTTTTGTAATTTTTCCCCTGTGCTTAGACCAGCTTCCTGCTGACTGCCTATGGACAGCACTTGCCAGCAAACCTCTCCAACTGTAAGCATCTCTGTGCAGTCCTTGATGGCAAGGCCAGGAGGGAGCCAGGGAGCCCACGGCCAACACTCAGCCAGGCCTCTAGCCGGGGCTCCTGGGCTAGGGGCATCTGAACACATCAATTTATTTTGGCTTAAATTAAACAAAAAAACCAAAACATTCACATGGACACATACATGTGTATGCACACATGCACGCACACTTAAAAAAACAGGTGGAGTTTAGGCTGGAACGTGACAAATCCTCTATTCTGGAGTGTCTTTATGCCCAGGCAGTTCGCCTGCGCTCCCCCGACCACTCACCCACTGTGGGCCAGACTCTGGTCCCTCCCAGCCCTCTGCAGTACCGTCCTGCCTGAGATTTGATTTGTAGATGCTTACGCTAACACTCGTATGCAGGAGCAGAGGGAATAAAGTTCTAGCACGGCCATAAGCCCTGCTGCATAAACCTTCAGAGTAATCTCCACGTTCAGTTTTTCCTTGTAAGGACTTTCAGGTAACGCTGCACGCGGCTGGAAGGCTGGGCTGAGCAAGTTGTATTTATTTGTAAGATTTACCGTCTGCAGACACAACAGAGACATCTAGTGGACACTGAAGGACATAAAACACTGTGTGTGCTGGTGGGACCAGATGATGGCACTGGGTCTCTCACAGGAGATGCTGACTGACAGCGCCCCTGGCCTCGCCCTGTGCAGTCTCAGGGAACTTGGAACCTGTACAAGGCTGGCCACCAGCAGGCCTCCTACGTGCGGTGTCACCTCTGGTGCACATACACACTCCTGCTCACACCTGGGCTTCCCTGACATGAAGCTTACTTTCCCTTGGTAGGCATTTACTCATTGTCCTATAATTAAATAAGTTCCTTGCATCTAATTAAAGCCAATTACACTTTCTTTTATTTTTCAAAATGAAAATATCCTGGGGACCATGTAATTAATTTATGGCACTGAGATTATTAAACACAAAGCCCTCTTTGGTCCCAAAGAGCTTCTCACAATGAAGTGAAAGGGTGCCGCACTGGACATGGGCCCCGGGCCTTGAGCACGTGGGCGCACGCCACTGAGGTGCGCCTTCTCCTAGGGCTGCCTCTTACACAAGGGTGGGCACCCCTCCAGCCAGCCTGTCATTGCCCCTTGCCCCTGCAGGTGCGTGGCAAGTGGCTCTCCTGGAATGTGCACATTTCCCAGCCATTCCATGGTGGCCACCACGATCTGCAAAACCCAGCCTCTGCCCTCAGGAAGCCTGCAAGTGAAATGCTCCCATCCATGAGTGAGGAGGAGGTCACTTTGGAATTTTCGTCCACTTGACTGAGGAGGTGGCGCGGGTGTGCGCAGGTGCTCGGGGAGCAGCAGGGCGCTAGTCGCGTGTGCAGCGAGTGTGCTATGAAAGCAGGTCAGGCCAAGGTGGAGACGAGCGCAGTGTCCCAGGACCCCTGAGTGACAACAGGGACCTAAACGAAGTGTCCTGCTATGTGAGGACGTCCTAGTCGAGCAAGCCACACAACCTAGTAACTTGGGTCAAACACCCACCACAGAGCAGTGTTTAGGAATGGAACCTCATGGGGCAGTGGGAGAGGAATAGGTAGAAAATGGAGGCTGGGGATGTAGCTCAACAGTGCCTGGCAGTGTGAGGCCCTGGGCTTGACTTCCGGTACCAGAAAAGAAAGAAAAATGAAAAGAAGAGAAGAGAGAGGAGAGGAGAGGGGAAGAAAAAGAAATGTGAAAGGTGTTTTAAGTAAACATAATCTGGGGACTGATAAAATGTGCAAAAGAGATTTTAAGTATGAGTTACTTGAGGGAAAGAAAACAGGAGCAGGCTTTCAGGGAAGAGGCTTACTTTAGTTTTAGCCATGTCCAATGGGGACAGGGGTACATTCAGCTATAAATGAACACAGGCAGGCTGGGGCTCTGATGACAGAAAGAGCACGCGGGCAAGGTTCCAGCTGTGAAGACCCAGGAAAAGGACAGGAGAGCCAGAGAGCCCACAAGGAGAGCTCAGGTGGCCCAGTGCACGGGCAGGTATTCTACAAACGCAGGTGATGACCACTTCAGCAGGTGCCAATAACAGCAAATGCTGCAGAGACAAGATGAGCCTGAAGGAGAGACCATGGTTCTGGGGCGGGGTGGGCTCTGAGACCCAACGGCACTGGAGTGCTATGGGGAAGCCACAGAGTAAGGGGACAGAGTGTGGAGGGAGAAAAGTGCACCCAGGGCACAGGCGGCTTGCTGGAACTTGCTCAGGAGCCAGAGAAGGAAGGGTGTCTGCACTCAGCTGGTGAGGGCAGCATAGCGGGCAGCGTCAGGGTCCAGGGAGGCGTCTTCCTTTCAGGCGGTGGGGCAGGAGTAGAAGTGAGAAAAGGGGGTTGGGATGGAAGTATACAGTACAGAATAAAAATTTGAGAAGAAAATGAAGGAAAAAGGAAGACCATTTCCTTGGGTACTGAGAGGTTCTTTTCTTTAAGATACTTAGGAGAGAGAACTGAGAACAAAGACACAGGAAAGAGGTGCTTTTGGAGAATCCAGTCCCTCAAGGTTCTTACCAGAGTAGAAGACAAGAATACAGTGAAAGTCAGGGGCTACTCAGGGACCATGGCAGAGGAGCTGGAGAAAAGCTCCGGGCAGAAGGGGCTGCTGGGGCTTGTGGCTGGCTTTGTCTCAGACAGGCCTGGTGACACTCAGGGGGCTGTGTGCAGGGACAGGGCTGGTGGAGAGGCAGGCATGTGACTCTCAGCTACTGTGCAAGCAAGTGACCAAGAGGGAAGGGGAGGGCCAGTCAAAAGGCAACTGTCACCCAAGCACCGAGGGCGAGCAGAGACCCACAGCCTGGATGAAGGGAAGAGGGACCCCGCCGCCATTAGATTATCACCAACCATTTTAGTTACCTGGTCTGATGGACAAACAACATCTTAAAGTAATTGGAGAATGACGCAAGAACAGATTTGTGTGCCTTGAAGTACACATCGCCGATGGCAACCGTGCAGTCACACAGGAACCCAAACTCGCGCTGTGCATTTAACTGCTGCAGTAGAATAAGTCCATGGTTGGTCAAATCCATTTTTTAAAAAATCTGCAAGGTAAACAATTTATTTTTAAGAAAGCTGGTTCATAAATAAGAATGTGTCCTTTACAGTCCCCAATAGTAATGATCAGAGCTAATGTGGCACGACAGCTCACGTGCTAGGCACTGTTCAACATGGTACACAAATTAACTCCACCTTCCAACTGGAGGTAACCCATGTGTGGTAATTTAGGGGGCTCTGTGACGTGCCCAGATTGTGTGTGGAGAAGCCAGGAAAGGAACCCAGGCTGGCGACCTTCAAACCTTGGGTGCTCAGCACAGCAAATAGTCCCATATCAGTTTTTAAAAGATCCCGCATACAAATTCTAAAGGCTCCTCAGTTGTCCAAGTTTCCATAGATACAGATCAATTTCAGTGCTAGGTAGAGTCACAGCAAGGCAGGGTGAAAATCATAACTAACTCTGGGAGCCTCCTCCAGGGATGTGATAGCATGCACACCCACTCTCCTAACCCCACCCAGTGAGCCAGCAGATCTGGCCTCTGCTTCCCTTCTGAGTCACAGGAAGTGGGCCTGGAAAGAGTAAGCTAAGTGACCTGTTTCCTTCTACTTGGAAGGGGCGGAGACAAAATTTAAATCTGAATGGTCCAATTCCAAATCCTCTGGTTTCCTTCACTGCTACAGACATACTATGTTCATGGATACTGAAACTTTGTGTAGGAAGGACATCAATCTTACCCAATTTGACAAAATTCCCATCAAAATTCCAGTAAGATTTCTTGGTATATGTAGATAAGATTATTCTAAATGTATATGTAAAGGCAAAGGAATTAGGGCACTTCAAACAACTTTTAGAAAAAACATTAAAGTAAGAAAAATCGGTTCATCCAATTTTGAGATGTATTATATTGGCACAAAATTCGAAAACTGTGGTATTGGTAGAGGGACAGGCGTGCAAACCAGTGCCAAAGAATAGATAGCCCAGAAGTAGACCCACATAAGCACACACGATTGACTCATCACAAAAGCAATTCAGTGGAGGAAGCACAACCTTCTCAAAAGTTACAGCTGGGTCAAATGGACTCTACAGGCAGGGAAGAGAAGGGAAGGAGGGAGAGAAGGGAAGACATAAAAGACCCAAATTTCACACTTTATATGCAAATTAACTCAAAATGTTTTATTTTTTTTTGAGTCAGGGTCTTACTATGTAGTTCAGGCTGCCTTGAACTTGCTCATGTAGCTCAGGCTGGCCTTGAACTCAAGGGGATCTTCCTGCCTCAGCCTCCTGAGTGCTGGGATTACAGACATGTACCCTCACATGCCCAGAGCATCAAGTAGAAAACACAACTCTATAAAGCACGTGGCTGGATGTGGTGGGCATGGCTATGACCCAGAACAGGGAAGTGGGCCAGGAGGATGACACTAGCTGGAGGCCAGCCTGGGCTACAAAACAAGACCCTGGCTCAAAACCAGAACAGAAACCTAAAAAGCTGAAACACCTCTAGAAAAAATCTTCAGGATCTAAGTTTAGGCAAAGAGTTTTTATACCTGAAATCAAAAGCAGACTGCACAAAATGAAAAAAGTGGACTTCATCCAAAGTAAAAACGTTGTTCTTTGAAAGATTCTGAATGAAAAGTGGAATGGATAAAAACATGATGACAGAGCCAGCCAGATAGCTCAGTGGACTAAAGTGCCTGCTCAGACTGATGCAGGGCCCAGGGTTTGATCCCCCGCCTACTGTGCTGGCCCCAGCCCTCCAGGGTGTGCTGAGATGGCGGGAGTGGTGGTGGTGTGCGCCTGTAATCCCAGCACTTGGGAGGCTGAAAACAGGAGGATCACTACGAGTCCGATCTGTGTAATGAGAACCTGTCCCTGCACTAAATACATTAACAAACAAAACAAAACATGATGACAAAGAGAAAGTATCTTTTAACCTTGCAAAGTGCTCTTCTAACAAGGGGCTAGCATTTGCAATGTACAAAGCTCAAAACTGAACAGCAAAACAATGCATCAAATTAGAACATGTGCAACAGACTGGAAGGGGTATTTTACCAAAGAGGACACACAGATGGCAAACCAACACATGCAATGTGATTATCCACCAGGGAAAACACAAACTACAGACACACTATTACCCTACACCTGTCAGGATGGCTAGCAGTAGAATAGCAGGATGGCTAGTGGAAAGGCCACCACAGCGCCACATGCTGAGGACAATGTGGAGAACTAGATCACTCCTTTACTGAGCACGGGAATTAAAATGGGACACACACTCTGGAAAAGAGCAGTTAAAAAAAACAAAACAAAACACAATTGTCCTACGACCCTCTGACTATACTAAAGACATTTATTCCAGAAAAATGAAAATTATGACACAGAAAAACCAGTATACTAACATCCATAGCAGCTTATTTCTGAACAGTCACAAACTAGAAAAGACTCCAGTGCCCTACATAGTTGAACAGCTGGAACACAGTGCACTCTCCTACGGTGAAAGGCACTCTGCCGTGTGAAGAGGGAAGCCACTGATTCACACAACCTGCGTGAACCGTGCTCAGCAAAGACGGCTCATTCCTAAAGGCTCCATACTGTGGTCCTTTTGATATGGCATTTTTGGAAATGATAAAGAACAGAATTTTAGGAGGGAACAGGCGAATGTGGTTCCAAAAGGTTTCCCACTGGACTGTGTCAGTGTCAGTGCCCTAGCTGTGGTACTACACAGTCCTACAGTTTTGTTTTGATTTTGGTAGTCCAGACTGAACTCATAGTGATCCTCCTGCCTCAGCCTCAGTGCTAGGATTACAGCAAATCCAGCCAGTACTGCAATTCTGTAAGAGCTTTCCACCGGGGACACTGGGCAAAATGGATATAGATTTTAGAGAGTTTGTAGAAGCACTAGGATTAGGTAGCTGGGACACAGAAAAAGCAGTGTTCATGATGAAAGACAGATGGTGCCAGGTTGGAGAGTAACTGAGATGACAGAGACACCACTCTAACCTGGTCTCCATGCCTGTCTTCAAGGCTCTTCTCTGCCAACTGTCAAAATTCGTCCCTTTCCATCCTATTAACCTGTCTTTCTCTACCAGAAGGCAGATAACTCAGAAGGCCCAGCCGCAGTGTCCCAGCACATACACTCTGATTCTGCTCAGGCTTAGGTGCCTAGGCAGCTTCTGGCAGCTTCCTGCCCCCAGCTTTAGGGGTCCTGGTCCACAGCAGCAGCAGCAGCAGGCACAACACACTGATCCTGTGGTTGATGAGGACAGCTGGTGCTTATGGAGGCTCTTTTTTTTTTTTTCTGTGGTACTGGAAATTTATAAGGACACATGCTTTTTGTGAAATATTCAAATACCTTGGATATATAAAACATGAGCCTCCTTATACTACTTTCTCCTACACGTTTCCCCATACTCTGGCCAATACTGGGCATTGGTACTGGGATTGAACCCAGGGCATTCGCAATAATCTACACTCCCATCCACCTATCCATCATTTTGAGACAAGCCCTCAATAAACTGCAAAATTGCTCAGAGCATACAATCTTCTTGCCTCAGCCTACTTCTTATCCTGGTTACTTTTCTCTTGTTGCTGGGACAAAATACCTGATATCCCAAATTAATCAGGGAAAGGTTTATTTAGCTCACAGTTTATGGCGGTTTCAGTCCACACTTGGTGGCTCCAAGGCAGAGTGGCACATGGCAGTTCATGGCAGCAGAACACAGCAAAAATAGCGAGAGCAAAAAGGGAGGAGCGCAGAGAGCAAGCCTCTTTCTTTCCCTTGTATTATATGAAAGCTACCTACCCACATGAGGGTAGCACTCACACCCACAGTCCCAGGAATGGACCATGAGTCTATCATAACTTCTAGAATCCTGCTGCAAGACTGCATGATGCTTGTGAGGACATCCAGACACAGACTCTAACATTCCACACCTGGCCTCCCAATGACTCATGTACATCCCTTTATGTGAAAGGTATTTAGTCCATCTCTAAGAGCTGCCAAGGTCCTAACAGTTTCAGCACTGCTGAAAAGTCCAAGTCCCAAGTCTCCTCCAAGATATAAGGTAAACACTTAGTTGTGAGTCCCGGTACAAATGAACAGTTATACACTTCCAAGATTCAAAGGCCCAACATAAATATCACCATTCCAAAAGGTACAAAGGGGGGATACAAAACACTGGGACCAAAGCAACTCCAAAATCCAGCTGGGCAAACATTAAGTCCTGTAGTTCCAGTTCAATATCTGAGGCAATGTGTGACAAACTGTGAGCTCCATGTGGCGCCCTCTCCATGGCACTGCTGCTGGTTGTAGCTCCTATGGTGTCTCCCTTGGGTTGGCTTTGCTCCCTCCTTGCTGTTTTCCTCAGACAATCCATGTTTCTGGCTTTTCCAAACTTCTGGGTTCTCCACTGCACCTCTGGCTTCACATACTGTACTCGTGGGGCACACTGCCTGGCCTCCCAAGCCTTCTTCTGAAATCCAGGCAGAAGCCTTACCTCAGAACGCTTTCATTCTGCATGCACCTAAAACCAGCACCACAGGGATGATGCCAAGGTCTCTGACACTGGAGGAGAAGCCAAGCTTCCTTCGCTCTCAGCTGTAGGGCTTGAGTGCTTGGATTGCTGAGTACTCTGAATCCGATTCTGGGGAACAAACTCTCTATGCCACTACCATCGTGGAACCTAGTGCAGCCGCTGCCATCTTCCTGGAACCTGGCACTCTGTGGCTTTCTCCTCAAGCAAACTTTTTCACTTTTTGCAATTTTGAGGATGCAAAAGGTAGAGATCTGCTTGTGATGCACTCAGGCCTTTTACGTTCTATTCCTTCTGAGCAGTCAAGATCTCCTCAGTTCTATGTTTATAGTCCACAACTTTATTGGAGTTACCTTTCTGGCCAAGCTCACATTTTAAATCATCCGGCTAGCTCCTTACTCTTGATTTGTAACATAAGTCTGGCAGAAATCTCCAACAATAGCTATGCCACTGCCTCAACATTTGATTGCCTTGAAATTTCTGAGATTAGTCCACCACCCTTAATCTCAGTCTCAGGCAA